GATGCAACCTTATCTATAGGATTAAAGGATGAAGATGATGAAAACGATATTTATTTAATAGATGAAATTGAAGAAAAGCTTTTTATATTAGAAGAAAATCAATATGATACTATTTCCGTCAAAAGTAAATTATTATTAATTGGCAATACAATGGATTTAGATTCATCTAATTTTAAATTACAATCTTTAGATAATGATAGTTCAGAATTTATTAAAGATCACATCGAAGAAGATCATAGTAATAAAGAATTCGATGTTGATGCTTTAGTAAATAGCTTCGATATTTAAGCATTTACTATTACAAATAATTTGATATATGTAAATGTATATAAAATGATAATTAATATAATAATATATTTTATTGCTAAATATATTAGATTTATATATTATATATTGAATACGTAATAATTATTAAAAATTTATGTACAATATCTATTTAATTAGAACTAATAATTCTATGAATATAAATATTACAATATCTAAAGTTGCAGCTTTTAATTTAGGTTATGGCACATATTATAGGTTTCAGTTTTGATTTTAGATTGTAGCACAGATTATAGCTGGCGGCATTATTTCTACCAAAAAATCAATGCCAAAATATTTTTGACAAGGCCGCAATTAATTTCTATGCTATGTATAATAAGAAGAAACATACTTACCACTACTCTAGAAAATTTACTATAATCCTATTTTAACTTTTATTAATAACAAATACTAAACCAGTTTTCTTCAAATCAAATCCTTATCTCCAATCAACCAAATTTTCAACCAAAAATCATCTTCACTAACAATTCCTCCCTTAGCTTTCATAGATAATACTGTATAGCATTACAAAAATCTAACAGACTTTTAAAATTTTCTGAATAATGTCACCAAACTTTATTTGATAAACAATATTTAAGCTAATTCAAACAAATCTGATCTACTACATATATCCTCTAACAAAACAAAACCTACTCTACTACCTCAAATTTTTTTTAACAACCAACAAATATAATCTCGTAAACTAGAAGAAACAATTAGATATCTTGGTATCTATTATGATAGACAAGGCTCAACTAAGCTAACCCTTGAAATAATTACTAACAAAATCTAACAATTTTGCAAACTAATCAAATTCAAAAAACTTTTACCTATACAAATTATATCACTCTTTAACACAATATTAGTACTATCACTTGAATATCTCCTTCAAATTATTCTATTAAACAAACAAACAACAAAAAAATTATCATCAACAATAACAAAACATATTAAACAACTACTTAACCTTTTACTAAATACAAACAATAATATTTTAACAAACCAACAACTACTAAATACACCTACTGTTACGTTGGTTTGACTTCTTTAACAAGACCAACTAACTAGAGAGACTAATAACAGTGAATACTTCGTGTAACGTC